AGGAGGAGCTGACCCCGGGCGTGGTGTACGTTGGGCACCTCCCGCGGGGGCTCTGCGAGCCGCAGTTGTACCAGTACTTCGAGCAGTTCGGGACGGTGACGCGGCTCCGCCTCTCCCGGAGCAAGAAGGTAAGGCGCCTCCGGGAGCTCTGCCTCGCACGGGCCGCCGGGCATCGCCGCTGCAGTTCCATGAGCGGGCAGAGGGGGGCTCCGCGCTCGGTTGCTCGTCCGGGGGTTAACGGTTCCGAAACGAGACCCGGGCTGGTGGCGTGTGCGGCGTTCGCTGTGTCTGAGCTGCGGACACGCAGGTTTAGCGGCACTTGACGTAGTCCCGTTTTTTCTGTGAGTAAATGCACTTGCGTGAGAAGTGGTGCTGGAATACACCAGTTCAAGCTGCAGCGTGAAATGTGATGGGAAAGACTCCGATTTAGCTTTCTTGTTGGTTTGTGCTCAGTAAGTTTAACTTCTAATTTCTGGCTTTATCATCGCATCATAATATTGCTAGGGGACTCGGTGACAAGCACAGAACAGCAGCGATGCAGGGTAGATATTTTGTAAACAAACAGGTATTGATGAGCAGTCTGTTTCATATGCATATGCCAATTTAGGACTAAATCTGGTGCTTTAAAGTGGAAGAAGGTAGATTTGGACTAGATATAAGGAAGATGTTCTTTACTATGAGGGTGCTGAGGCACAGGCACAGGTTGCCCAGAGAAGCTGTGGATGCCTCATCCCTGGCAGTGCTCAGGGACAGGTTGGCCGTGGCTTTGAGCAACCCAGTCTAGTGGAGGGTGTCCTTGCAACTTTCTGAAGTTACTTGTGTTCAGCTGAGAATGGGCTGTGACAGTTCTTCAGTTATTAAAACATCGTCTCAGATTTCTTTGTGTCATTGCTCACAGACTGGGAATAGCAAAGGCTATGCATTTATAGAGTTTGAATCTGACGACGTGGCCAAGATTGTTGCAGACACAATGAACAACTACTTGTTTTCTGAAAGACTGCTGAAGTGTAAGTACAAGCTGAAGTGTAAGGTGATTTCTGTAGGGCTGAGCTTTTCTTCTTTCTCTGCATGTGTATAGAACACGGGCTTTTTTTTTTTTTTTTAATTAAAAGATTAATGAAATTTGGGAGTTTCTCAGACATGGTGACAGTAACACTTGCTTTGGAGAGGATTATGAGATATATATGTATCAGCTTCTGAAAAACAAGTCTCTGTCTGTTTCCTGGGTGAAATTGAAAAAGTGCTTTTTCCATCCGTCCATCCCCAGTTCTCTTGCTAATGGGTATTCAGTTACTTTCCATATTCTGATTCACAAAACATGGTACCAGTGCTCTGCAGTAGGAGTGGATGATGTTATGACGAGGATGATGTTATGTGGGTACCTGTGGTGAGCAGGGTAGCTCTGCTCTAACCTGATGTCATGTTCTTGGTACAGGTCAGTTCATAGCTCCTGAAAGGGTCCATGAAGACCTCTTCAAAAACAGCAACAAGATATTCCGGAAGCCATCCCAGCCTGCAGTCAGGCGGTACAATAGGATACGATCACTTGTTCAGAAGGCGAAGATGACAAAGCGGCTGCTGCGGAAGGAGAAACTCTTACGGAAGAGACTGGCTGAAAAGGGCATTGATTACGACTTCCCAGGATTTGTAAGTCGGGCATAGTTTCAGTGAGTGTTCTATGCACAACATGTTTGCTGTGCTCAGTACAAAAAACCCACGTGTTTTGTGTGGAACTGGTAAAAGGGCTGGAGCATCAGGGAGACCTTCTTGTAACGTCTGGAAGAGATGTTCTTGTAAGGTGCTGGGAAGTACTGTAGTGCTGTTACGGGGTTGTACCCTGTGTGTGGGTAATACAAGGGGTTGGGTGTTCTGTGATTTTACTGTTTGACTGCAAATCACAGAAGAGTGACAGTGTGGGAGGCTTTGGCAGTGTTGGCATTTGATAGTAGGTCCATCCCCAGACCCTGCCTACCCCAACCAGGCATAGTGCTGGTTTGCAGAGTGCTTGGGTGAGGTACTTCCGCTGTAAGCTAGGCTGTTAACATAGTATTTTTTAAAATGCATATTAGCAGCTTTTCTTATGTTGTTTGGGTGGTTTTGTTTAAACCAGGTCATCTCTGCAGCACTGTCAATCATTTTATTAATTGAAACCTAATTGCTGTAGCAAATTTGTAGTTACGAAGCCCATAGACCATTAAGTGACTGTTTGCATCTTCACACAAGGAAGTTTGTAGTGATCTACACCTGATGTGTCTTGCTTCCTAGGCTGTACAGGAGCTTTCCATAAAGAGAAAGAAAGTTAAAACATCCAAGAAATCGGAAGTGGACCTTTCTTTGAGCAGCCAGGTAAGACCCAACAGTCCTGGTGGTGCCCAGCATCATGCTCCACCATTCATGCTGGGGCAAATGTTTTATGTCTGCAGCTGGTATCTTTGTCTTAATTTCAACACCTGAAAACCTTGACATTGTTTGCTTGAGAGATTTTTTGGTCAAAAGTAGCTCCTTCTAGGTGCATTAACACTCTTGAATTGGGGAGGGTGGTTGGATCTTCTCAATTCTTTCTCCAGAGGGAGTGTTTAGCAGCAAAGGCTTCTGCTCAGCATGTTGTAACTAGCAGTGCTTGTCCCAAGATGTGTCCAGGCACCTGCTATTCAGCACTGACTTGAGGCTGGAGAAACACAGGGTGCTGATGACAGTCACTCATACACCCCCTATGTCTGTGCTTTGAACTGGTACAAAATCTCTCTTTGCTGGCATCCTTCTGTTGGTCTGTGCCATGTTATAGTATGACCCTGTTTTGACCAAAAGGAAGTTGAACCATTAACACAGTGTAGTGCTGTCAGTCCCCGTTTGCGTGTTGCACTGTCCCTCCTCCCTTGTGCTCTCCAGGCATGGTATTCCAGCATTTTGAAAACTAATGACAGCTAAAGGTAGCAGTAAGATGAAAACTGAGGTCGTCAGAACTGAGATTTGGGATACTGGCTGTCTAAACTGCCTGTAAAGTATTGCCATTTCTGTTTTGTTTCATCACTGTTGTGAATTTGGCTTTGTATTGGTTTTTTTTAATGTTGCTGGATTTACTTGTGGTAATTGGGACAGGGCTGGTTGTGAGTACAACAGTGTAACTCCTACATTCAGTCAACTGAGTTCTGAGAATTTACTGAGGTAATGAAACTGGGATGTTTCGGCTCTGCTGTGGGCTTGAATGTGGTTTGGTTGGTTGGTTATTTTTTTTCCCTGATTCTTTTCTTCTTGGTGCTTTGAGTCATGAAATACAAAGTTTAGAAAGCAAATGTTCAAATTGACATGTTAGAAGATGTGAATTACTGTAATTTGCCTTTCACGTATACTTTTTGATGTTGATGCTTCTGTATGAAGAAATAATACCTGCAAAAATAGCTGCTTATAAAAGGAAAACTATTTTTCCTAATGTGGAAGTTGTGAAGGAGAGCTGGACTGAGGTGCCTCGTGGTGACTTTCTCTGGCTTTGCATTGAATTATGTTTTTTTGGTCTCTTCAGGATCCTACTCCAGTCTGTACTCCAACAGTGCTTGAGCGCCGGAGAGCTGCTCAGGCAGATGGTGATGCGGAGGACAATGAAATAACTCTCAAACTGCCCCCTGCCAGTACTAGGAATGGTGTGCCGAGAACAAAGAAGCAGCCAAGAAAAAGACCAAACCTGAAGAAACAGAAATAGACTTAAAATACAGGTGGCTGTAGCCATGTTTTTTCTCAACTCAGAGTGGTTGAGTTGGAGTTTCTAATGGTTCTGCTGCCCTGGTTCATTTTGTCTTGACTAGACTTGTTTCAGTCTTTCCTAGGCAAGGGATCTATTTACAAATCCTCCCCCTCCTGTTTATCCATCATGAGACCCACGGTCTCCTCTTCCTTTGAAGATGTTTTTGGCTTTGTGCTCACAAGTGCCCGTGCTGTGACATGCCTGCAGTCGTGCCACAACCTTCAGCTAATTCTGTAACTTGTCTCTAGCACTCACTGTATTGAAACAATCTGAGACTGTCCAGTTAGAGCTTGCTGATGCGGGCTCTATCTTACATTTGTAATTAATTATGGGTTATAAAAGCCGAAAAGAAATTAACCATTTTTCAACTGTGTTGGCTCTTGGTAGTGGTTCTTCTAACTGAATGTCTGGTTTTCATACGAGTTCTCACATATTTACCTAAATAGAGGGTGAAGGTTTTGGTTTTTTCCTAAGGAAGGCATCCCTTGAATTTCATCTCCTGTTTGCGTTCAGTCAAGATCTGCATGTACTGTCCGGGGCAGAGGCAGAACACCAGCTGCCTCAGCGAACCAGTGCCTTTCAGCCCTGCTTTCAGTTTCTTAGCAATGCCTGGGAAACTTGGCCTTTGCCAGGGTATGGAGTGGTTGCAGAGGACTTATAAAGGGCTGGGATTACGAAGGTGGTGAGAAGAGACAGAGGAAGATGGCTGCAGTCACTCACGTTCAAGATTCTCATTCCTTTCTCTATGCAGGCAAAAGATTTGTGTTTGAGTGTACCCTGCTGTGGAGGATGCAGGGTGGCTGCTCTGTTGGCTGGTGGCTTAGCCAGAGTCACAGCTACGCTTTCATTCCTCAGTTGTGTAAAATCATTTCACTCTGCCAAGGTCCCAGGTGTGCACGTACTGACGTGTTGCTTTACCTCTGGGCTGAGCAGGCAAAGGTAACTTGCTGATTCTGTGTCTGCCGTAAGTGTGCCATTGCCTGGTTCAGAAAACGTTCGAGGACCTGCAAAGCGCAGCTGGTTTTAGAGGCACTGGTTGCTGAGCTGCGGAGAGGAACCAGAGGTAACAACTGGCTTATGTACAGCTGTCCTCAGAGGGAGCAAGGCTCTCTGAGAAGATGCATCAGCAATCAGAGCAGTATGGGTTTTATTATTTCTGTTGTTGTTTGGGCTCTGCAGCACATTGTTTCTGTATTTTAGTGTCACTGTCTGCATTAAACAAGGATATCTTGTCCTTCAGAGGTGATAAGAACTTTGCGATATTGTAATAAGCCTCTGGGTGGGTAAGCAATTCAGAGAATTGAACATAGCTTTTTGTTGTGAATCAAGATTTATTCCTGTTCCAACGTAACCTGTCTCAGCTGACTGCAGATAGGCAGTTCTGTTTGAAAATGCAGTTTGACTGTGCAGTTAGAATTTGGATTTTATTGCAAACGTGAGACCTGCAGAAATTCCAGTTTGCGTTTTGTGATATGTACCTTGCCTCGATCTTCTGTTGTGTGAGATGAAATGTTCTCTACTGCTTTTGGCTGTAGGTCAGACTTGGCAGAAGGTTTCAGAGGAAAGCCCAGGTGGTAATAACTGGCTGCTCAGGTAGGCAGCTGGCACTAGTTCCTTGGCCATTTTAAGACGACGGCTCCTGGCAGAGGAGAAGAAATCTAAACCACTGGCCTGGCTAATTCTGTCCTGCTTGGCCTGAGCACTTGAATAATCATGTGATTGTAATGACATTTGCCCAGTAACTAAAGTTAGATCATTCTCCTTTGTTGCTCTAAACTGTTGGGGAAGCCACCTGGATGAGAGCGTCTTTGTATGAAATGCATGTCACCTTGGGCATGCCAGGGAAATCTTTTGGCCAGCCCGATGGTCACTGGCTCTCCTTGCCTTTTCATAGCAGTGTTGCTGTGTACATCTGCAGCCTTTCTGTGTGCTTGTTTGATGTGAAAAAGGCAGTGTTTGCACCTCAGCCCCCTGGAAAGTACATCCTCAGCTAAGGCTTGAGATAAACATGATCAGAGTGGTTGGCAGGAGTTGCTTATTGGGTAGTAACTGACATGCAGCTTTGAAAAAACTTTTCTACCTTGACTTCATACAGCAGCAGGAGAGAAGCAAAATGCATCTGTCCAGAGCGGGCAGTTTTCTTTCAAAATCCGTATTCCTAGCTTTGTGTCTTGCCAATGAAGATGGCTGTTGGGTCCAGATGAACCTCCCGGGCGCAGCCTGACAGCAGGGGGCAGCACGCTTCAGCTGTGTGGACAAACGCAGCACAAGGTCTCCTGGGAAGTGACCTCCCGGATTCATACAGAAACCTGTCTAGTCCAGGCAGTGTGGAGTGACTGGCTGCACTGGCGCGACTAATGCATCGCTGAAGTGATTTAAGCGTATGGGAGAACCCTGGTATGGATCTTAATCAAATATGCCTGTTTCTTTGGTGCTGCCACAAATACTCCTTTCAAGGCTACTGAGTTAATGCTGCTCTTAACAAAACCTAGTTTATCTAGAGTAACTTACCTAGTGCAGTTCCAGGTTCACCGAAGCTTAAACAGCTCCATTCCTGTGCTTCCCATTCCAGCCCCTTGGCTTGCATTTTGAAGCTGGAGTTGCTTTCTTCCTACTCTGCTTCTGTCACGGTGCTCCTCTCTGTCTGGTGTTCTGCCCCTGCCTGGGAGCCTGTGTCTGCTTGCCGCTTGTTCTGTGTTTGACCCTGTGGCTACTTTCCATGCCGCTGGCTGTGCCTGGGCTGTCTTGTCCAGCTGCAAGAGCTGCCAGGGCCTTCCCTTCTGCAGATCTCTTGTAAAGGTTTGTGCCTTTAACACTGGCACCATGGTTGCTGCTTGCTCTCCATATTCACATGGCAGTGCAAGCCTCGATGGGAAGACATTCAAGAAAGCTCGCTTACAATAAGGTTTGCTTCCTGCTGTAATTTTCCTTTTCCCTTCCTTTTGTTTATTTGTCTTCCTTCAATTGAGATCAGCTTAGATGGCAAAGCAAGGAAACAAAATTCTGTGCTTTTTGAATAAAGCACAGCAATACCCAGGCTACAGCAAGGAGCTCTCAGCAGAAGGGAAGCTGTTCTTGGAGATAATTTCTGGTTTTAGGCTGCCTGTGTTATTAATATACTGCTGTCCTGGGAGCTGTGCATAAGCAGAAATTCAGACACCTGATACTTGCCAAACATACTTTCCGTAGCAAGTGGGCAGATGTGCTGTGTCATGAGTTATGCCTTAGTCCTTGCACTGATTTTTATTTCTCAGCTCTCCAGTCGTTTTTTCATTCATCTGGGACAAACACAAACCTCCTGGCCACTGTTTTTAGGGCAGGCTGTGAGCTGTTTTTACTGGGACACTAGGAGTGCTGGGGCTTTGGTTTCAAGGCATGACTTGCCTTTCTGTAATAAATAACTGGAACTGGTTCACTGAATACCTATGTATGTAGGACTGTTTTCAATCTTCAGGCATGCTTAGGTTCCAGCACAGTCTGTTAATTTACACTCATTTATTCTGATTTCTCTCTTTTGCAAGACTGGGAGCTGGGCTAAGGAGTGCACAGCATTTCCCAGCCCATGAAGCACTGGAAGTAAAAGGGGCGGGGGAAGCAGAGCTGGCTGCTAAATAGAGGGGGAAAAAGGAATGATGAAACATTTTTCTCTCCTGAGAAAGACATTGGTGAATTTGGCATAGTTAGACTCCTCAAAATTAGAGATGCAGTTGGATGGGTTTTTTTATTTGTTTTGCCTGTTAGATATGCTGTGGGATGCCCAGGCTGCACAGCGCATTGGGAGTGTGCTGCAAACTGTGGCACAAATGCTAGTGCTTGCTCGTGAGCCCTGAGTGGAGGAGGAGAGCAGGCTGGGCAAGTGACACACGCTCTTGCCAGTAACAAGCCTGTTTGCTTGCATACCTGGCTTTTAAAATGGCTGCAGCTGCAAGGAATGAGGCTAAAACCTGTCTGCAATTAGCTCATGGCACAAGAGAGGATATGTACATGGCTCTGAGGGGTGACATCCTCTCCTCTCGAAGTAAAGCACAAGCAAGGCCGGGGGTAGCTCTAGCAAATTCCTCCCTTCCAAGTGCTGGGGTGTTGGGTGCTCACTTTGCCTGTGCGATGCAGCCAGCCAGGGTAGGGCTGTGTTGTGTGAGGTGCTTTGCACATTCCTGCCCTGATCAGGGCGTTGCAGGTGGAAGCCAGGCAAGTGGGTAACAGGAGTATGGCGGATGTGATCTCCATTAGGTGTTTTCCAGGAATACTCATGGGTCCTTCTCTTGGACCAGACTCCTTCATTGTTCAAGATGCTGTTTAAACACATCCTGTTTTCCAGAGTTAACTAATCCAACCCACAAAGTCTTGAAACGTATCTCTCTCTGGGCAGCAGTAATCTGCACCACCTTGGCCAAAGATACGCAGGAGACCACCCCCAAACAGAGGTAGTGGGGAAGGACATTCTATGGGTCAGGCTGCTGCCTGGTGCCACTAATCCAGGCACATCTCTCCCTGTCCAAGGCCAGCAGCTGTCAGAGCAAGCCAGGGAAATGGTTAACTGCATGAGCGAGAATTGCTGAAGGGAAGCCTTTTCTCTCATGTGGGATGCAGTAAGGCCTCTCATCTCTTCTCCTACCCAGCATTAATTAAGTATATGGCAGGGACAGAGATTCTGGCTGCCCTGGGAGGCTTGGACTGGTTACACACCTGAGTGTCTGTGGCCGGTGACTGTGTGGATCTCCTGTGCTGAGAAGGGATAAGCTACAGAGAAGCTCCTGTGTAAGTCTTGGCTCTGATCAGGGATGCAAATGCTGGTTTATAATTGTCTTCAAATGTGGTGTTGAAGAGAAGAGGCAGGATTCTGAGGATGAATGCTGCAGTACTGTGGGACAAGTGAGGTGGGTGTCTGCAGTGAGCCACAGGCACTGGAGTCATCTCACTTCTGTGGCCACATGTTTGACCCTGCACTTGACCCATCA